ACCATGACCCCAAAAAAAGGTGGGAGGGAAATGCTTAGAATTACATGCATAGCGGAAAAGAAGCCAGTCCTAAGCATTTCCTCCATGTTGTACTGACGTCTCTGTAACCTTAATAAATGCTTTTAGGAGCAAATATGCCTGAAAGTTCCTTTAAGTGTTTTGTTAATCAGACACATGACATCATGCTTAGGACCCAACTCCTTTTACAACGATCTGGGGTCCCGAACCCCATCCACTCCCTCTAATCTTGAGAGGTTCTGGAAAAGATTCGGCGAAGATCTAAAAATGAAGAAAACAAAATTGTCTGAGGCACAGCCATGATGAAAAACAGGCTGGACACTTCGGATATTTGAAAACCCTACACCTCACCCGCCGACAATTCTGGTGGCCGGGGCTAAAAAAGGATGTGGAAAACTATGTAAAAGGTTGTACTGTATGTGCCACAATGAAAAGAATCCCAGGGAAAACCCCTGGACTACTGCAACCCGTGGCAGACCCTTCTCAACCATGGGAAGAAATAGCTATGGACTTTATAGTAGACCTACCTGAAAGTAGTGGAAACACTGTCATCTGGACTGTAATAGACCTGTTCTCGAAGCAGGCTCATTTCATCGCCTGCAAAGGNCAGTGGGTGAAGGGGTGGGAAGAAGTTTGGAGAAACACAAAAGCTGCTTTAAAAAAGACTTTTGAAACCTATAAAAAGCAGGCTGATAAAAAGAGGGCTCCCCAAAGAACATTCCAAGTTGGGGAAAAGGTTTATTTGTCAACTAAATATCTACGCCTCAAGTTGCCCAGCAAGAAATTGGGACCAAAGTTCTTGGGGCTTTTCCCCATAGTAAGGATCATCAACCCAGTCACAGTAGAGCTAAAACTCCCTAAACTCTTAGGGAAAATTCACCCAGTTTTCCATTGTAGCTTGTTGAAGCCATATCGGGGCTCCATGTTAAGACCTCCTCCAAAGAAGGCACCTGGGCCCCTCGTGGTTGCGGGACAGACCCACTATGAAGTAAAGCGTATTCTTGACTCTAGAATTTTTAGAGGGAAATTGCAGTATCTAGTACAATGGAAGGGATACCTGTTATCCGAAGCCACCTGGGTGAAATCCAGTGAAGTAAAGGCTAATAGATTGGTCAAAAGGTTTCATGTGAAACACCCCAACAAACCGAAAGATAACCCTTAACATATGCTTTAGTTTGCTTTATAGGATCTGTCCTTTTTGTAAGGGGGGCCGGATGTCAATGCTGCAAATACTGTATATTCTTGCTTTGACAATATGCAGAGCTGTCTGGCATTTTTATAGTTAAACCAGGCAGAAGGGGAAAAGAAACTGGAAGTAAATCACATCTTCCAAGTTGATTGGAAGATGTGAACCATGACCCCCAAAAAAGGTGGGAGGGAAATGCTTAGAATTACATGCATAGCGGAAAAGAAGCCAGTCCTAAGCGTTTCCTCCATGTTGTACTGACGTCTCTGTAACCTTAATAAATGCTTTTAGGAGCAAATATGCCTGAAAGTTCCTTTAAGTGTTTCGTTAATCAGACACATGACATAGGTGATCAAATACTTTTTTCCTCTTCCTTTTCACCACTCCCTTCTTCAATATCTAATTGGCTATCTTTATGCTTGGGGTTTGATCCTGAAGATTGTTCTCGCTCTTCTTTCAGTTTTAGTTTAAAACCCTTCTGATGATCCAAGCAAGTGATTTCCCAAAACATTCTTCTGGTCCTTGTGAGATGCAGCCTATTTTTTGCTGGAAATGGAATGTACATCATGGTTCAAATTCATAAATAACTATTTTTTAAAAGGAATATTAAAAACTAATATAAATGAACATAAAATAAAAAGGAAAGGAAAAGGAAAAATAAATGAAGTCAAAGAGAAAGCTAAAAGTTTTCCTATCCTCAGCATTTTAAGTTTTCAATTTACCTCTTACTGTGTGGTTACAAACTTTCTCTAACCCATCCATTTTAATCATCAATTGATCAAAATCATAAATTATATATTTTTAGTAAAACTTTTTTAATGCAAAAAGTCCATAAGAAGTTTATAGTCAGCAATAAATGTAGATATTGTATTTTCTCTGATCAAAAAATTCAGTTTAGTCATATTAGTAAGATCCATCATCTTTACTAACCATTCTTCCATTGTTGGTAAAGATAAAATCTGTCTGTCTTTATGCAAACTATTACAAAAAATCTCCTCACTTCAGTTATTATACAAAAACGTTTTTCCAATATTTGTCCGTCAATCCCCAAAAAGAAACCTCTAGATTCAATTATATTTTTAAAATCTTTTGAATCAGTGTTTTTATTTGAATCCATAAATTTCTAGCTATTTTACACAACCACCAAACATGATAAAATGTCCCTTGTTCACATTTCCAACCTAAATGTGAACTGCATATTATAGACCAGACATGTCAAAACTCGTGACGTCATGCGACATTGAACAACCTATCGGGACAGTTTTGCTATTGCCGGCAAGGGGGCTTCCGCGTGACCATGGGCCGGCAGTTTGACACCACTGTTATAGACAATTTATTTTCTGCAATAGTGACAAATATCTGTAGGTCAGGTGTAGGATGAAGGTGAAGGTTCATTCTCTGAGCTTGAGGGTAGGTTTCCAGATATTTCATTACCAGGCTAGGTAACATCTTCAACGATGTTTAATGGATGTCTTTGTCAGGGTTCTACTTATATAACGGCTTCAGGTGTGGGAGTGTCAAGTGAGGGTCTTGTGATGGGGCAGGTGTGAGTCATCAGAGAGGCTTGTGATGGGGTGGTACATCAGGTCAGGGTCGTTGGAGGGTGTGAACTATCAGTGGGTCAGGAATGAGTCATCAGTCAGAGGCTGCTAATGGGTCTTGTGATGGGGAGATTATATTAGGTCAGGGTCATTGGAAGGTAAACTGCTGGGGGGGGGGCTTGAGAATTGGTGCTGTCTCCGGATGGCTGTGCAATTGATTTGGATTCTGAGGAGTTTGTATGCTGGTTGTAAATCAATATGTCTGTTGATAGAATTGCTTGTGGAATACCAGGCTTCGATGAACTCCCAAACATGGCAGGTGGTAGTGTGGCCGATGATTTTAGTGCTGCCCAATTGAACTGGTATTGCTTGGTGCCAGTGTGGGTAGTGATTAGGGATTTGGGATCATGGAGTTTGAGTGCCAGCCAGTGTTCGTGGATCCTAGTTTTTAATTGATGTGATGTTTGTCCCCCATAGAAGTGGTTGCAATTGTTACAGTTGATTTTATAGATGACATTGCTTCTTTTAGCCTTCTGTATCTTGTCTTTGGTTTTAGATAATTCCTGGCACAGTGTGGCTGTGGGTTTATGGGCTATTGCTATTGCTAGGGATTGGAGAATTCTGGCTGTCATTTCTGACACCCCTTTTGTGTATGGTAGGCTTCGTTTTTGCATGGTGGTCCGCTGTGTGTTGTGTGATAGTTTGACATCTTTCTCTCTAATGACTATCCCAAAAACTTTGTATTCTGACACACAGCATCCAAACCACCACACACCACACAACTGACCACCACGCAAAAATGAACCCTACCATACACAAAAGTGGTGTCAGAAATGACAGCCAGAACTTTCCAACCCCTAGGAATAGTGATAGCCCACAAACCCATAGCCACACTCCACCAGGAATTATCTAGAACCATGGGAGTGAATTACCTAGTCCTTTTAACCTATAATTCTATGATATCTCAATATAGAATTTCAGGAAAAATCTTGCTTTCTCAGCAGCCAAAACCTTGAAAACTTAAATAGTTAAAATAGCCAGGAAGGGGTAATAGGAAATTATATCCAGATAGTACTAAGCCTTTCCTTGGAGGAAAAGGAAGTTTTGGCAGTTTTGAGAAGGGTAATGATCTGCCTACCATTCAAGAAGCCAGCTCTGAATCCAGTGGAGATTGACAATTATTGTTTAATCTCCAACTTTTGAGGAATTGAGACAGATCAACTATATGGCACACCCTACCATATATCAAAAACAATTAGGAAGCAGTAGAATGCAACTTCCAATATCTGCAAGTGGGCATCTCACACTGCCCAGAGGCTACCCTACAAGGACAAATCATGCATTGCAACCATCGTTTGGAGGTAGAAGATACTTCTAATGTAATCCACCGGATCCCTGCAGAGATTGCCTATGTGACTATGTAGGATAGATGGGGAGGAATCTTACAAGAACACAAGGAGGAGATCCAAACTCATTAGTGGCCTCACATTGCAATGAACAAGAACATATATTAAATTTTGCAGCTACTAAGATTGTTGGCCAAGCAGGGAGAAAAATAGCTAGGGAAATGATTGAAGCCTGGGAAATGGACTCCTTGTCAGTCAACAAGAGTGCTGATTTACCACTAGCTTATCAAATACTTAGAAACCTGGCCTATTGGAATTCTGTGCACTTGGGGCAGCCCTTGAAAAGCATTTGGAAGCTGTAGCTGGTCTAGAATGCATAATACCACAGTTGCATGAGCTGCACTGGCTCCCAATATGCTTCCAGATGCAATTCAGGTACTGTTTGTAACCTTTAAATCTCTATATTGCATGGAGCCAGATTATTTATAAGGTTGCCTATCTCTGATTCTGCCCATCTTATTAGTTCTAGCAGAGTGGGTATGTTCTGAGTGCCTTCAGTGAAAGAAATTACTAGTAAGTAGAAAGTGCTCTTAAGAGCACTGATTAAATGAACTTGTCTTGATTTCCTCTCACTTTATGTATTGTATGAGCAGGAATAATAACTATATTGTGACAGATTATATCAGTAATTTGTTTAGTGAACTAAAATCTTCGACAATTTGTGTTTCATCCTGGGGGAGGAGTCTTTCCTGGAGAAATCCATTGGGTACTGGGGAGGAGGACAAGAACAAAGCTAAACTCTCTTAATGCATGTAATATCTGAAACAATTTTGGCCATGCTAAAATGTTCTAAACTATGTATGTATGGAAGGTTAATGGATACATTTTAAGGTGTCTATATTCTTGCAGATATCCTCTTTTTTTCATCCAACACAAAGTGAAATAACAAGCCTTGACAGTGGAAATATAGATGATATTTTAAGTAAGTATTGTTTAATGCTTATACAGAACATTTATTTATTTATTGCCTTGATTCATATAGTTTCCCATCTCACACTTTTGACTCTTGATGGCATAGACAGGATGACACTCAACAACCAAAGATAACAATAACAATATAAAACAATACTCCAATAGCACAGTCAAGGACAATGAGACTGAGATCACATAATTTTAGTCATGTCAAAGAAACCACAGTGATGGAGTCAGTCATCTATAGGACCCATGCCTAGGAAAGAGTTAGATCTTCAAGGTTAACAGGAAATTAGTAAGATTGGGCCAGATAAATTTGTTGGAGTATGATGTTTCAAAGGGCAAGCATTATGATAGATAAGGCCCACTTCCTTAATACATAATAGATGGGAGCCAGAACATGGTCAGCCTGCCAGATCTAGTGAGTTAGACAGGAAAAAAAATGGAGAAAGGTGGTCCCACAAATAAGGTGGCTCCATGCAATTAAAGGCTTTAATCAGGAGTTTGAATTGCAGCCAAAAGCCTACTGGGAACCAAGGCAGTTGTTGGAGCAGTGGTGTAACATGGATAAACTGAAGTGTTCCCATAACTGCTTACACAGCCACAGTCTGGACCAGCTCTATTTTCTGAGTGCATTTCATGGGCAGCCTTAAGTACATTGCTGTAATTCAGGTGATGACCAAAGCATGAATGACCTTGAGTAACGTGTCATGGTTCAAGAAAATGTGTCAAGATGAATCTATACAAAAGCTCTGCTCGCTGTGTCTTTTTTATATTCCCTGAACAGGAATCATGAGTATAGGAGGACCACCAAATTACATATGAGATTCGTATACAGCAATGCAATATTTGGAAAACCTTTGGGTTTGGGAGGCTTTGAAACTCAAAATCACTTGGTTTTTATTTTATTTATTTACTAAACTTATATGGCCATCTATCTCATATAATGATTCTACGTGGCTCACAACAATGCATTAAAACATGGTTGAAAACAAAAATACCCTCCAGGCCCCATAGCACACATCCTTGCAGCTCAACCCCTACATAGACAAAGCTTGAGGGAAAGATCCAGGTCTCCATAGCCCTCCAGAAGACTAAAGGGGATCCCTTGGATCTCAGATGGGAGGCTATTCCAAAGCGCTGGGGTAGTAACAAAAAAGATGCACCTCTGAAGTTCCATCAGAGTATACTCACCCTATCTAACCTAGCAGAATAGCCAGGTACCCTCATAGAGAGATGATTCTGCAAATAACCTGGCCCTATGCCATGTAGAACTTTAAAGGTGCTAACCAGTATCTTGAATTGCATCTGGAATCTAGCATAGCTCTTGCAGTAGTGTTATTCAGGTGAGACACAAGATATAGGGCAAAACTGCACATGCCTCTCCAGTCTGGATCAGTTACAGCTTCTTGATAGTTTGCAATGGCAGCCCCATTAGAGCACATTGCAGTAATCTAAATGGGAGATGACTAAAACAGAGGTGGTTTAGAAAGATCTGCTGTTCTAGGAATGGGCACAACTGGTGTACAAGTTGAATTTATGCAAAGGATCCCCTTGCACACTACCTCCTGCTCTTCCAGCAGAAACCTTGAGTCCCAAGAGGACTCCCAAGTTGTGCACCAGATCTGCCTGGGGGAATGTTACTCTGTATCATCTCTGAATCAGAGATGTCAACTTTTCTGATAATGAGGTTGGGGAGGGGGTACCCACAACTATTTTGTCTTTTAGGGTTGACTCACAGCTGGTTTCTCTTACCCCAGAACCTTACAGCCTCAAGGCACTGAGCTAGTACCTGAATATAATTTGCCTAATATAGGATAGAGGTGTATAATTGGGCATCATCAGCCTACTGGTGATACTGAATCCCATGCTGGTGGATGACTATAGATCTTAATTAGGAGGGGAGAGACATAATATGATAAACCCATATAATAGGAGCTCAGGCTGGACTTCTCCCCCCTCACTAGCACTGACTGATAGCAATCACAAAAAACCAGCGCAGAACAATACTCCACTCCCAATCCTCGGGGCTGGTCAAGAAAATACTATGGTTGATGGTATCAAAAGTTGGTGAGGGATCCAGAAGGAATAGAATGAATTGAACACACTTCCGAAATCCCAAGCCCTCCACACATCTACAAGTATGACCAATGCTATCTTGATACTATAGCTCAGTCTGAAACTTGACTGAAAATAATCTGCTTCATCAAAGGCCCTCTGTAGCGAAGAGCTTACCATCCTCTTGCCATCCTTTGAAAAGGGAAGGTTGGAATGGAAGTTATTCAAAGCCATAGAGTCCAAAAATGGTTTCTTGAGGAAGGGGGAAACCATTACCTATTTCTTCTCACATACCTATGCCTTCTCACACATGGAAGCATTTACCATGGCTTGAACCTGCCACCTCCCAGGATGTTGTAACCAAGTAGGAGGGCAATTGATCCAGACTACACGTGACACAGCTCATAACAGTACTGGCTATCTTAAGCTCTTCCAGATAACCAAGTGAGGCCATGTCTCAATCATTTCCATTGGATCTATCCAGATCGAGTCTAACACCCACAGAAGTTGAATGGCTTTATCTGACAGATATCTAGAATAATCTTTACAGTCACCCTGCAGGGGCTTAACTGTCTCTCCCCCACCATCACTTTAGTCACCCCAAACTAACCACTGCCAGCCATCTGTGGACACAATCTCTCCCTCCAGGCACTGAGAAAGAACAGCATCACTTGTCAGCTTGGATAGAGATGTGCAGTTGATAACTAACCCCATGCTGATGGATGATCTCACCCAGCAACTTCATATAGATGTTAAACAGGAGAGCATGAGACTTGGGAACCCCTATAGAGAAGGAGACTTTTACCAAATCTCTTCTATTAAAACTAACTGGACCTGGTCCTGGAGAAAGGAGAAGAACTACCGTCATATTGTATCTCTCGTTCTCAACAACCTGAGTCAGTCCAGAAGAATAACATGATTGATAATTCAAAGTTACTTAGAGATTAAAGAGAGTGAGGATGGGTCTACCACCCCTATCAGAAGTCATCCACAAGTCAATGCTGTTTCAGTTCGCATATGCAAGTTAAATAATGACTGAAAAGGACCCAGCTAAGATCTTCCTCCAGATCTTTCTGAAGTTGCAGTGCAACAACCTTTCTAAATGGACTAAACCTGTCCATTTCAGTTGGGGCCAGTGATGGTTTTTTGGTGGGGAATCCCCCTCCTTAAGCATCAGTGGAGCAATCTCTCTCTGAAGGATTAATTCCCTACATCTGGATCTAATCACAGGCCTTGGCCAGGCAGGAGGACATGAATCTAAGTTTCAGGTAACTGAACTCATAGTCCTAAGGATCCGTCCACTTCCACATGACTAATAGGATTAAACTCATCCCAGGTAACAAAGCCAACTCCACTCTTGTATCTCTGTCAACTCCATAGGACCTCCCAGCCAGCAATGTCCAGCCAGCTCAGCAAAACTGGACAATTTTATCCAATAGATGACCATGTTATTCCTCACCAGTGGCCTTAAATGTATGTCCATCTTATCCAGGAGAAAGGAAGCCCTGAACAATGACTCTTTCTTATATCCTATCAGATTTTCTCTTTGTTGTCATCCAGCAATGCTTTAGGCATCTATTTGGCTATTTTATTAGTTGGAGCTTCTCTGAAAAGAAGGCAGTATTAGGTTCCATGGATAACAAGAGGTAATATAAATGTAATTGATTCAGAGGCACAACCATACCTTCATTCTAGCAGTAACCAAAATCTTAATCAAAATGGGCACCCAGCCTTTAAGAAGCCCCAATCCATCAGATGCCTTTAGCAGATTGGCATAATAAATCCTTCTCAGTGTGTTGAGCAGCACTAGAGCACTTAAAGCAACAAGAAAGTGATAATCACTGCCACTTTCCTAAGACAAATCCTAGATCCAACACATGACCATCATGTGCTGGATCTTAGGTGATCTGGATTAGATCTACCGTATATTTGCTACTGTATGATGTCCATAGACTCTTGAGCCATATGGAATTTGCATCCAAGGTTGAAGCCTATGAAATTTCATTGACGACCTGGCCACTAAAGTCAAAAATTTAGATTTGGAAGTTGCTATCTCACAGCGAGGCTGATACAGTAACAACAATTGCAATTGATTCCTAAAGCCCAGCTTTATATATAGGGTCTTGCAACCAATCTGCAAGACAGCACCTCTGAAACCCTCAACAGTAGCTGGAATGATAATAGCTACTCCACTGCTCCAACTCTGTACACTTGGCTAATCTAATGCCACATCTGAAATCAATATGGCCAAATTTCTCAGAGAGGAAAGCTCCCAACCCCAGTCTTGGTCTTGGTAATAAACAGCTCTCTCATTTGCAAGTCACAGATGAGAAGAGTTTTATTACCAGCTGAACTATAATTCAGTAACAGTAATTAAAAGCCCAAAACTCCAACTGTCCATTGACGAGATATTGGGGGGGAGATTAGGGGGGTAGAAAGCAAAACCTAGGAGCTACCAAGAGTTTAATGAAAGATGGACAGCCATATAATTTTTTAAAATAAATAAACCAGTATAAGAAACTGCCTATCCCCATGTGTGCCCACCCTCATATCTTACCATGTCTCCATCTGCCCATAATTTCATGTTCCTTCTTGCCCTCTCTCCCCCTCCCAACTAAACCTTCTACCTCCCTAAAACTAAATTTATGTTGAATTCTATTCCTGAAGTTGATTGTGAATTCATTGAGATAGGCTTTGATTGAGCAGCCAGATTTTAAAATACTCTAGAAGTATTTAATGACTACATTGTTATTCATGTGAAATCTTGAGAATATTTGCACAATATTGAAAGAAAAATATTTAGAAGCTAATAACATTTATAAGTAGGTAATGCCATAATGCTAAATTAAAATCAGATTGCATGAGAGGTTTTAAAATATTACTCTTTTGGAACTTTATTATTGCTAGGAAGAGAAGGGAAGCTTCCATTGGTAATACAAATTCCAAAGCAAA